TACACTAGCCCTGAAACGTCACCACTGCAGGCGCATCGCACACCAACATTTACATTGAACTGAATTATACGCGAACAACGCTTCGCCGCAAACGCATCCCATGCTCTTAGAGAAAGTGTGCCACACTAGTCCTAACCCGGACCCTACTACTGAGCTGTGTGCAGGGCGGCCAGGGCCTGTTTCTACGCGCATTTCGGCTTGCCATGAGTGCATTTCATGCTGAATCGAAAGAAACAACTTTACTATACTACACTAGCCCTAACCCTAACCCTACTGCTGAGCCGTGTGCAGGGCGGCCAGGGCCTGTGTCGACTCGGCACTGACTGCCAGGACTGCGGGCCCGTGGGCGCCAGCAACTTCACCGCTGACAGCCGCAAGGGGGGGTGAGTTTATTATTACGCTTCAAAGTACGCAAAGCGTTGTGCTGCGCAGCAAGCTTGCATCTCTTTGTGCTCTTCAAACAGAGTATCGTGTGGGCCTGTGGGCGCCAGCACCTTCGCCGCTGACGGCCGTAAGGGGTGGTGAGTTTGTCGCGATCTCGAGGCCTGGAGTGTCTGTACTGTGAAACAAAGATGCCTCACCGTGTGCTCTTCCGTCAGGGTACTTCCTGAGCAACTTGACAGCAAACAGCCGCAAGGAGGGGGTGAGTTCATCATAGAGTTCATTATACTTCAAGGACTTGAACCGTTGTACCGCGCAGCAAAGTTGCATCTATGTGTGCTCTTAAATCAAACCATTGTGTGGGCCTGTGGGCGCCAGCACCTTTGCTGCTGACAGCCGCAAGGGGGGGTGAGTTTGTCGCGATCTCGAGGCCTTGAATGTCTCCACTGTGAAACAAAGATGCCTCTCTGTGTGCTCTTCAATCAGGGTACTTCCTGAGCAACTTAACAGCAGACAGCCGCGAGGGGGTGAGTTATCATACTTCAAGGAGTTGAACATTATTGTTCTGCGCAGCGAAGTTGCGTTTCTGTGTTCGTCAATCAAAGTACTCCCCAAGCAACTTCACCGCTGACATCCGCAAGGGGGGGTGAGTTGATCATGCTTTCTAGGCCTTGAATGTTTGTATTGCGCAATCAGAGAACTTCCCGAGCAACTTCGCAGGCAAGGGGGGGTCGGCAAATGATGATGCAAGGATTTGAATATTTGTACTGCTTAGCAAAGCTGCATTTCTGTGTGTTCTTCAACAAAAAAATTACTTCCTGAGCACCTTCACGCCACACAGCCGCAAGGCGGGTGTCCTCATCATACTTCAGGTACTAGGGAAACTTGAATATTTATGTTTGACAAGTCTCTCATGAGAAACTTCATCATTGCCAGCCGCAGGGGGGGTGGAGCTTGTCATACTTCAAGTACTGAATCATCATACTGATGCTGAAGCGACCCCACCTCACTTGCACTTCTCTTGACCCCTGACCGGTTAGGGTTAGGGTTAGGGTTAGGGTTAGGGTTAGAGTTAGGGTTACCGTGACCGGGGCTGCTGGTGTTTGACATTCGTGACCGTCGCCTGCAGGGTATTTGACGGGCTCTCGAGCTACAATCATCAATAGTACGGAAGCAACTACGCTCTCTTCCACTTGTCATCATTACTATCTGGGGCTGCTGATTCTTAATGCACGTTATAACTGCCTGCAGCTTATGAGATCGGCTCTCGAGCTACAATCATCAATAGTACTGAAGTAACGTCGCTCACTTGCGCTTCTCATCATTGCTGACCGGGGCTGCCGATGCTTGACTCGCGTGACCTCCGCTCGCAGCGTTTCTGATGGGCTCTCACGCTACAATCATCAATACTTATGGCGTAGTACTGAAGCAACCTCGCTCACTTGCACTTGTCATCGTTGCTGACCGGGGCTGCCGGTGCTTGACTCGCGTGACCTCCGCTCGCAGCGTATTCGATGGGCTCTCAAGCGGACAGTGGGGACGCGACTCCGCAAGCATGTCGCAGCTACAGGTACATGAAATATACATCACCTAGAGCTCTACGACATTTTGATTCGTTTTTCATACGTACGGCGCCTGCCCTGTTTTCAACTTAAAGTTTGCATGAACCCTCGTGGACGCTCTTCGCAATTATGGCCTTCAAGATGATGATGACTTAGCGAGACTCTGTCGCAACTACAGGTACACTTGAAAACATACATACGGCGCCTGCCCTGTCTTCAACTTGAAGCTTGCGCGAAGCCCCGCAGGCGCTTCTGAACCATGGTGCACCTCGCAGCTGAAAGGCCAGAAAGGGTCCAGTGTCCTCCAGCACGGACCGCAGGCGTTAGTTGAACTTTTCGTCTATCCAGCTGCGCGTCCGATGCCGGTGTGCCATGAGCGCGTTTTTGGTGGCGAAATAGCGGACGCCTCACGCTGACAGTCGCAAGCCCGCAAAGGCTCGGCTGCAGCTGCTGGCCGCGTGTCGCTGCAACTTGCAAGCGCCCTCAGTCGCCGCCTCACGTGCCACCGTGCGAAGCAGGTGCGAGCGCGCCTGATTCGTTGCTCGTGCAGCACGTCATTGGCGCTGACCGTTCGGCGACGCAGATGGAGCCAAGATGCCGAGCTTTCATACTGTGAGCACGGATGCCTCGAATGCTGAACAGCTTGCACACTCAAATCTTTGGCTCCTGTGGATATGGTGGCACTGTTTGGCTCGTGGCCAAGTGCCGCAGCAGCAGCGGCCACGGTCATTGTTGAAAGGCACTGGCGGCTAACCACACCTAGTCACCTAGAGCTCTAGAAGCTTTTGATTTCTTTTCATGCCAGCACACGGCTGCCAGCCCGCGCGCAGGGAACACGGTGTCGCCCGTCTAGGACCATGAGGCAATGCATTTGGAGGCAAAATGGTGTTGGCATTGTATGTGAAAGTTCAAAATGCATTTTCACCCATTTCTCATGCGTCTGTGGTGGAAATGCACTAGAAATGCATCAGAGAACATGACTGATTACAGCAAAATGAATCAGAAATGCACAGTAAGTGCAGTTCTTTCTTTGGATACGGATCCACCAGGGGTTATATCTGGGGTTAGGGTTAGGGTTAGGATTAGGGTTAGGGTTAGGTGTGTGTACACCGCCGGCGCTTCTGGAGCCTGCTGTTGATGAAGCACCTGCACTCACTGCGAGTCGTGCTCGTGTATATATGTATGCACATGGAGGGCGAGCGCTGCCTCATCACAGATCTGCTGTTGACGCTCCGATGTCGGCGCACACATACGTGCATGTATGTGCGCAGGGTTGCACGAAAACGTTGGCCACACAAATGCAGCGCATTTGAGGCGTATTTGGCAATCAGGAATACGTCTTGAGCAAACCTCAACATGATACCATGCTGCGCGAAGGGCGCATTTTTGGGGCAAGTGCCAAGTCTGTCGATCCTGAGCACACAGTCCACCACGAAAGGGGCACTTGAACTCAGAAATAAACTTCAACCCCAACCCTAACTCTATGCCGTACCACACCGTAACCCCCCCTGCGATCCCTGACCACAGTCCTGAGCACTGCCTGCCTTGCACCACGGGTTTTACATCGCGTAACCCATCATGGGTCGTTGGCAGGATGCCTTTCCCCTCGTCTTTGCGGACCTTTGCCACGGCTGCCAGCTTGCCCCCTATAGTAGAGGCCTTAACCCCTGTGGCCTCGTGTAGAAAGGCGGCATACACGGCCAACTCTTCGGCCTTTTCCCGGGTGCCTGCAAACGCTTGTGTCTACCCGGTGACTCAAACCGTGGTCTGACCAAAAGTACTCTTTTTGCAACCGTATATGTGCGTATGCAGGGGGTGAGCGCTGCCTCATCGCAGAGCTGGCAAGAAGACAGCACGTTCTTCAGGGGGAACGATGTCCTCAAGGGCCAGGAGGGGAATGCCGCGCCGCCATTCTTCAGGTACGGCTGCGTTTGCGCTCGTTCAAGCTGGTCCTATTTGGTGAGGGGTACCGTAAGTGGATGGTTGTGAGCTATGTTTGGCACTCCGTCAAGCTGGTCCCATTTGGTGGGGGGTACTGCAAGTTGTTGTTTTGGAGGGCAAGTGATGGGGGACAGTCGGTTGCAAGGATATGGAAGTTAAAAGATGATTAATGCTTGCACCGCCGTGCCTCAGGTGCGGCGCTGCCTGCACTCTGGCCATTATCTATTTAAAGTGTTTAAGAGTCTCACTGTTGATTCTCACTCGGCAATCAACTTCCACCAGACACAGTCGGGGTGACTGATGGAACATGTCGAACGGTATGGCTCTAAAAAGGGAGCAAGGCAAAAGGATCTGGAGGCCAATGCTGCAGCAGCACTCATGTACAAGCTGTGCCCTGGCCATGTTTGCTGGGTTAGTTTCAGCATCGCCAATGATTGTTTAAGTAAAAACAGCTGCAAATCAGGAAGAATGGATCACAGCCTGAGGCAGGTGATGATGCGCTGCCATTGCTGTTCTGTACTTACTTCCGAAGCATAATGGAACACAAGGCAAGAAGTGGTGAACCCGAATATTTGAGGCGCAAAATGCAAGCAAGAATGTGTGGATGCGCAAGGCCCCGCCCATGGTGGCACAAGACAGACATCTTCTAAAATCTGGACAAAAATATGATCTTGTTAAATTCACAATCAAACACCTACCATGGGGGTCCCTAGACTTGACACTATGCATACCCCCACTCTGCATTTTGAGCCTTGACAATATGCACAACCCCCACTGTACATATTGAGGTGCCAGCCGCCAATCCACTGTTGGCACGGCAATGCATGCACAGCAATATCATATCTCAGCTCGTTTGGGACCATCATCATGCGCGACGCCAACTCAGCAAGGCCCTGAATGCCGCGCTGGCTGGCGCAATTGAGCCACCCCCCTTTTGCACCCCAGCAGCAGATGCCTCCGTCAAGACTCTCGCCCCGCCACACGACGCAAGTGCTTATGAATGCGATGCTAGGCAGGGAGGCAGTCCACCAAGACTGTCTTTGCAAACGCTATCGGAGGTGCAGACCGCACAAGTGGTACATGTAGTCTGACCCCCCGCATATTGCGCGCGGCTTCTCTTCTATGGTGGAATTGGTAGACACGGAAGACTCAAAATCTTTTGCAATTGCGTGCTGGTTCAAGTCCGGCTAGAAAAGAAAAAATAAATGGGACATAAACATACAGTTTATATCAAAGATTTCCAAGAAAAAAGCCTGCGGGCATGCCTTCACCACGCGTGCCGCCAGCACTCAGAGCACTGAACGCCACTCACACACTTGATTGGGCCCGTGTCCTCTTGCGAGGCGGAGGCCTTACTGACGATGGTCAGTTTTGCAGCGTGTGCTAGCCAGCGAGCTGAATGCAGTTCTCTCTGCGTGCAGGCATGCCTTCACCAAGCGGCACAAGCAGCTCACCAGGGAGGCCGAGGGGGCGGAGGTGCTGTTTGAGGACGCGCTCTGGGGGGTCGTGCTGCTGGTGGTGAGTCACCCCTGTGAACTTCACTTCACGCATCCAGAGTGAATGTGCACTGCGCGCCTGCTGCTCCCACGTGGTCTGCAGAGCCGCATCCAAAAGCGTGAACACTCAGGGTTAACTTAGGGGGTTAGGTCCAGTGTTAGGTCAACTCCTGAGCGCTGCAGCTGAGTTCTAGTTTGCCTTTCGGCCGCGGCTTGCTACGAGCTGTAGAAATTTGCCTTAGCCCTGAGCTTGATGTGACTTCTCGAGCAAGTGATGGATACTCTTTCATGGTTCCCACTCAGCTGCTTCTTGTGCGATCGCAGAGACCTTGAGAGTTGCATCAGAAATTACTGGAGCGCAGGGGTGCTGCCGTGTGCGTGTTGGAGAAAGATTAGACGATGTAAAAATATTGGTCCATTAGTGTTTGTGCGTCACTGCATGACCTTTGCAAATATGAAGCCAATTTGCTGCTGGTCGATTGCCAACTTGACCACACTTGTCGCTCATGAAGGCAGCATATTTCGAAGTATTGTCCGCACAGGAATAGCTGAACCACTGTGGCTTTGCACCTCGCATATGCTCAGTGTACTGCAAAGTACGAGCACACTCTTCGGCGCAAGCATGTTGACCTGCATCATGTACTCTCAGACGCAATTGTGAAGAACTCAGAATAGGAGGTTTGTACTGAAGCCATTGAGATGGCGGTTCTTCATCAGCACCTGCGTCGTATCATGCCCCGACCTGTGGCACCAGCTGCCTCGTCTTCACAGTTCCCCGCGCTGCACAATTACCTAGGCGTGATGCTGTGTGGGCTGCAGTCAGTCGTCTTACGTGGACATGCAGGTGTTTGTGAATGCCATGCAGGCTTCCCCTTCTGACAGGCATCGACCGCAACGCATGCAATGCGCTGCTAAAGCAGCGCAAGTTGGCACTGCATATGCCATGGCACACTGTAGACTTGTATGATCTGCACTGACACCTCTCTTTGCGCTGCTGCTGCTGCTGTCTGTGCATGCAGGGCGGCACTGCAAGCGCCCTGATCCTCTACCTGGCTTACCGCAACTACAGACGCGGAGGGCGCAACAGCAGTCCCGAAACGGCTTTTGGCCTGCTTCCCCAAGATCCGTACGCAGCTTCCGGCAGCAGCAATGGCGCTCAGCGGCAGCAGCAAGAGCGCCGGCGAGAATAGCATCCGACGTGTGCAGAGCGATGCTGCTGCTGCTGAACGCTGTTGCTCTGCGCCCGCACCCTCAACGCGCGTTGTGTGGATGGCATCGACAGCGCGTGCATGATGTCGCGCTGTGACGTCACACTTGCAAAGCGTCACGCCTGGCGGTCAGGCGCGCATGCAAGTTTTGGTTCTGGGACGTGGTATGTGCATGCTGCCTCCCCTTCCCCCCCCTCCCCCTCTCAATCACCCCGAGCCTGAACACCTCAACAGCGCGCAGACTTCAAGTGCTGATTGAAGTGCAGGAACAGCAGCAACGCACACGCAGCTGCGGGTGCAATGCCTGCATTCGTGTGCTTCCGGCTTCAGCAAGCCTTTCATCAGCGAGTCTTGGTGCTGCGTCGTGTGCCCACGCAGAAAACTCAGCTCCCCCTTGGGGGCTGCTGGTGGTTATACAGATGTGCGGTGGGTTCTGCGCGCCCCAGTTTGCACAGCTTCGGCGCGAGTCGCAATGCCTCGCATGGCAGTCCCGCGGACACTCTAAATGTTGAGTCTAGGAGGTTCTACATGACGGTGGAAGCGGTTTGTGCGTGTGCAGGCGGGAGGGGGTTCAGCATTTCAAGTTGTTGGCAATGTCTGGCCTGTGTGGCTGGCGTAAGCCCCCATGTGCACGTGAGATACTGTCGGAGTTGGCTTGACCACCAGCGCTGAGTCTGCGTCCAGTGTCTGCTTCAATGCAACGCAGCAGTGGCCCTCTGCGTGTGATCGGCATCGTCTTGCATTGCCCTGCATGCGTATGACATCTCTATGCGCGTTGCGATGCTTTGCTCGTCATGACCTGCTTGCACCTTGCCTCAACACGTGAACATCGGACACTTCCTTGGCTGCTGCTGCAATACATTCCCGGTTGGGTCATTCGTATGAAATGTGAAATGTGACGTCACACTTGCCGCACCGCACAACGTTGATGCCTTGTGCCGGATGCTGACTCCATTAGAGTACGACCAGCAACGGACCGTGACAACTGGCAGCCTCAGGTGTTTCGGCCTGACGATTGCACACGGCATTTCTGACGTTGGCCGCTTTCCACAAGCACAGCATTGCAATACTGGTTTCAGTGACTAATGAGACTGTGCTCTCAGAGATGAAGTGAATTGAATGCCTCGGTAACCAGACCCCCTCCCCCCACCATCCCAGTCACAACGTGAAGAGCTCTGAACGCCAACCGACTCCTAGGCATGCACAAAGGGATGTGACGCTTGCCCAAGAATGGAATTTGACAGAGCGTTGCTGTGATGCGCACGTGGAGAGCATGTCAATACTGCTGGGGAGGGGGGGCGGGGGGGGGGTGAGGGGGGAAGAGGGGGGGCGGAGGGGGAGGGTGAGGGGGGCATAATTCACCTGCGATGGTCACTGCTGTAACCAAAGAGTATGCGGCATTCTAGGCAGGCTTGTGGACAGCCGTAGTTCAGAATGCACAAATGCAGGCATATGCTTATGTTGAGGCACAAAAGAGCTTAGAATGTGAACATCTCACTTACTTCAAGGTGTCTATCTCTTTTCGCCAAATACACTTGTAGAAGAACCATCATCAGCTAAATGCCATGCTCGGAAATTTTCATAGGCGACTGAACAAAAGTATCAGTCACATGGCTGCTCCAGCTCGCGTTGATGTGCAGGCACAAAAAGCACAACAAGCATACAACGTGGAGCTCCATCCGCTGCGGCAAAAAACCTCTCTTTCTTTGACTGGCGGTGAAAACTACCCGTGTTTTGGGACAGTATGTAAAGGACGGCTGTTCACAGCACAAACATCCTGCCCATTGTGACTGTCCGTTGCGGCCTACACAAGCAAGGCAGACAGTCACTCATGCGTACTAGGCACAAGCAACTATGTACCGACGGACACAAAACCATAGACTATAGACAACTGGGGAGTACGTATGGACTTGTATTTATAAAGGCCCAAGGGAGGCCGGGTTGCCTATGCAATCGAAAAGCTTGCGACTGGGGAGTACAGTACAGAGGCAGCGGGGACTTGAAGTGGACTGATTGCTGCAACATAACTGCTCAACGCGTTCAACGAGCAAGCCCAAGCGTAATTGCAGAACATCAGGATGAGGGGTAACCCTAACCTACATACAAGCGCATTCAACTCCTTCGCACCATCACAGCATGTGCCATGGGGGTATGCATATGCCTAGCTGGCATGGGGTGTGATCGTCTCAATGATGCCGACCCGACAGCAGGATGGCAGCCAGGTATGCGCCCGCTTGCAAAGACTGCAGCTGCGCACTTTGCTGTCGACAGGGGAAGGCAGGGAAACAGCGGTACAGCGTGCATGCAAGGAGCGCTTTGAGAGATCGAGCTGACTGCGGATCGCAAGCCGCCAATACTTGGGAATGTCATCTTGAAGTGCATGGCGTCGTTCAGCCAGCAAATGACCTTTGCCCTGTACATTAATATCCATGCATCGCGCGTCAGCCGCATCTGACCGAGAGGATTCTGCTTGTCCTGTGTTACAATATGGCGCTGTTGCACAATAAGGGTTGGATGCCCTAGTTGAGGTTTGCACTCCAGGTTGTAGTTGAAGTGCAGTTTTGTTCGCGAGCTGTTCGAGATCAGCTCCAGATCATTGATGTAGGTGACTCAGCAAGCCTGAGCTGGCACGCGCAGGTTTGCTGTTGATAGTAATATCACTTCCTTCGCCGGCTTCCTTTCCGGCAACACCACCGTGTGTGTGTGTCACCTTGTGGCTGCCTCCGTCTGCCTCTGCGCTATGCATTGGTGCGGTGTGGCGTGCTAGCCTGCACGCGTGATTTCCTTCGGTCATGAGCCTGCGCTCACGGAGGTAGCTAGCATATGGAAGGAAGTCCCCAGCTTTGACGCCACTGGGTCATCAATAAGCGGAAGGCGAGGCCGGCATGCGCCTGCGCCGACATGCACGGAGTGCATGAGCAGCTGGATCATGCGACTTGGAGCTCTGTTGTTCAGCCTGGGCGACTCGAGCGTGTCCCGGCGGGTACCGTTCATGCTCAACAGCAGCAAAGGTCCGCATGGCGAATCCAGGGAGATGACAAAATCGTCTGGAGATGCGAGCCAACAGGCGCTTCTTCACGGGAGGTTGCGGTGAGGCAGCATCAACGCATGTCATCCTTGACATGAGCAGGAGCTGGACAGCAGCTTGAAAACTGGAGTGGCGGGAGCTACCGCAGGAGGTCCAGGTGGAGCGGATTCCCCTGGCTGGAGGGCCTGTTTGAGGCCATGGCGATTTTCAAGGGCAAGTGTGCGCAGAGGATAGCGTACCAGGCTCGTGCGATTTCAGTGTGCCATTGCAGGGTGCAAAAGGCAGCCAGCAGTAGCAATGCCGATGAGTTATTTGAAGGTTTGCAAAAGAAGAGGGGGTCCTCAGCTGTGCAGTATCGCTTTTGCTTCGCACAGAAGAGGGGGCCTCAGAAGTGCAGCAGCAGCAGTGGGCGAGCTTCGCACAAGAAGGGCGGCATACCCAGCAGTGCGTACAGTTTCGATGCC